CAAACACATTAATCATTTTTGCATCATCACCGACACGTGCCTTTCCTCGCAACTTTAACTCTCACAACTTTGTTGTTTCATTGTGTGAATGTCCTCCTCATACTCCTGATGGTGTCGGACCAACATCACTTTGAGAATAGAATAGAACCATCTCTGTAAAATGCATTGCAGTTAAATTTCGCACCGATATTCATGGTCCCCAGAGGACCAATCACAAAGACTTTGATGAGCCCATGACTTTCAATGTAGCGCCACAAGCAGATTGAAAGTTTTGTTGTCTCTACAATTATTAGATGGTTTGTCATGAAATCCGGTTCACGTTATGAAGTTTCACGGTTCATGAGGTTTCATTTGATCCTAATCAACCATTAACAGGGGAATGGGGAAACAACAAACAACAAAGAGGCCAAACTCTTGTTTGTTTTTGTTCATGTCCCCTGCATGAATGGTCTCCATTCCACTCACCCACTCCATATTTTTACTCCCAGCTCTCATACACAAGCACACAATGAGCACTTACTGCACAAAACAAGCTCATCATTCATTCTCTACAATAAAAACTTTCAGTGTCTGGCTCGGGGCCAAGCTGTTACACAGACGTTTACACTGACTAGCGTACACACTCTGAAACTACACAAAGTTGTGTAGGTTCAGAGGAAATATCCCCCAGGTCGTCACTTTGTGGAAACAGTTCTGTAACGTCTATCAACAGGATAACTTATTCGCTTTTTACATAGATAAAAAGACAAACACTCTGTTTGTGTATCAGTCCTGTTTTGTTCACTTGAGGCCCTTTTACTCTTTTCCTAGGATACAAGAGTGTGGACAGTGTTCCCAAACTGGTGGACGAGTACATGAACAAGAAGCTGAAAGTGGATGAATTTGTGACTCACACTTTGCCTTTTGAGAAGATCACTGATGGTTTTGATCTCATGCATGCTGGGAAATGGTGAGCCTCGATTTGAAATACATACCAAAGTTTTTTTTTTGTGTTAATGTGTGCCACGCTCTGATGTCCCTCTGGGTTTGAACTGACCATAGATTGTATGAAGAGAACTATCTCTCCACCTGGTGGCTGGTTGCAGTACAGGCCATACAGCTCACCTCTTCCTTGTTAGCAGATGGGACATGGACCAAATTAAGAAATCAAAGCACAGGTATAAGTGTTTAACTCTTATGGTAACTTTAGTTTTAGTTAGTTATTCATTGCTATAAAAAGCGTGCTGAAATGTCACGTTTGACAGCCGAGACTAAATTGTGATTGGTCTCACGCTTATAACTGCAGGACGTTGCTCCTCCAGCTCCATCCCCCCATCACTACCGCACAGACTCTAGCTTCAAATGTACAAGATGGCAGCGTCTGCATGCAGGAAACTTTATTTCTGGATAGTGGGAGGAAGTGGAGACGCGTCGTCCATCTTTAAATACAGTCTTAGATCATCACCCCTGCACTCTGTTGAGGACATACATATTGAGAGGCTTTTATTCAAATACAAGCACCGTGTATCAGTACTGTATTTAAAAGGTCCTATATATGAGATTGTCAACATCGAGTAGTAGTCAGTAACTTATTTCAAAATAAAAATCTAGTGGTGTAATGACATCCTGAGCAGAAAATGCAGTCACACTCCCTGTGTGTGTGTGTGTGTGTGTGTGTGTGTTTGTGTGTTTCTTCCTTGTTTTCTTTCTGCCAGCGTGGGCACTCATTCATGTCACTGCATGTGTTTCCTTTCTGTGAAATTGTTCCCGTGTCTATAAAGTGAGAACATTTCCTCTCTAATCTAAGCGATGATGGAAACATGACTTATGTGAACTTATTTTTTGTCACTGCTGTTTCACACTGCTGTGAAACCACAATTTCCGCAGCTGCACCTTAATATCCTCTTATACCAACTAATTCCAAAAATGTCTGTATGTGGAACCCATATATCTCTCGAAATGTTCATCTTATCAGTTTCACACGTGGCGGCTGTGGCTGAGGGTCAGCAGTTCAATCCCCAGTCTTCCCCATCTGCATGCCGGAGTGTCCTTGGGCAAGATGCTGAACCCTGAATTGCCCCTCATAGAACAAAAAGTGCTGCTAATAGATGCACTGTATGAATTAAAAACTGTTCTGTGCAGCGCTTTGAGTGGTCAAGACTGGAACAGCTCTATATAAATACAAACCATTTACGTGGCATGTGTATTATTAAAGGCCCGAGGAGGTGCAGAGTCAAATTTTAATAAACAGGCAAACAGTGTCTTGCAGTCGGGCCGGGGGCAGCTGTAACAGTCTGCAAACTGAGTTCAACACGTCTTCTCCTACGTCCTCAGATAAGCTACAGCAGTGTTTGGCAACTGGCAGCCCATGGGCCAAAACCAGCAATAATATCTGACCCATCAAATCATTTTGATTTCACCGTATGGGAGTGACGGGTGCTGATCTCTGTCATGGCATCAACATTTGTACAATCACTTCCTCTGTAGCAATTTGATGCCACGGGCAGCCATTATAACCAACTTTATATTCTGTCTATGGTACACACTTTACTAGTGCGTCTGGTTGTTTGTTGAGAGACAGCTTTAATGGGGATTCACAACACTCATAAACTACTGAATGCAGGTAGTGGGCCTGGTAGTGGTGAATATTGTAAATATAATCTTTGAAGCTAAAAAAACTAACCCAATATTCACAATTGAATCCCATTTCTCACTTTCAGCATCCGTGTGGTCCTCCAGTTCTAGATGCAGAGGAGCAATGAAAGCTTGGTGGAAGTCCATGTTTGTTGTGCTGAGTCAAATAAATATTCTTCTACTATTCCCTGAGTCTGTATTATCTGAACAATGCACAGTCACCTCTTTGATCACCCCCCCCCCCCCCCCCCCCCCCCAAAAGGAGCACATGTGTAAACACAGAGAGAACATTGTGAGAGAGAGAGAGAGAAACAGAAACCAAAATAAGATTATTCAAAAATATTCGGAAACATCCTTTGATCTAGACTGAATGAATAACAAATACAAACACAAACAGACGTCAATGTTGGCAGGTTGTTAATCGATAAGGATTGCTGAGTCCGAGCAGCACAGACACAGAAGCCTGATGACGAGGTAGTTATAAAGGAAGTTGGAAACACTGCAGATGAAATCCAGCCTTCTTAAATACTTCCTTTGATTATTGTCCCTGCAGGATTTGAGCGCAAGGCTGGTTTCTGTCTTTTGTCTGGTTCGTAACGGGTACACAAACTTGTCACTGTAAAGTGTCTCCAGTCTGTGGGAAAGCACTTTCACTTCAAAGTGTAACTGACTTGAGAGGACTCTACAATGCCTTGTACTCCACTATGCCAATCCTCATTAGGTAAAAACTGTTTCCCCAACAGCTCAGTTCATGCTCTACGGTGGAAACACAAAACTGAACTCTTCCCTTCTCTATTTCTTGTGCCTGATGAAAGCACAATACAGAGAAAAGGATGGCCCAAAGGATTGTGGGCCTTTTAGTTTCAAAAGCTCTTTTTTTTTTTACCACAAACATGGCAGAAAACTTTCAGGTGTTCATGACGTAATTTGTCACGCAGAAGATTTATTTGGTCAAGTTATATGATTTCAAAATATGATACAACTGTAATCACAACAAGGTCTGATGATTAAACAGACTGTTATGACTCCAAACCATCCAAAACTCTGCAGTCAGGATCATCTTCCCACTCCTCATCCAGCTTCACCGGCTTCCAGTCCAACAAATAATACACTATAAAATTTCCCACCATACCCGTTGGACTTTCTCCATCCCTACAACCCTTCCAGCCCTGTTCTATTCCTCGGCTGCTCTTCTCTCCATCTCACATTTAAGCTCAGCTTCTCTGGTCCATGACACTGGAACTCTCTGCCACCTCGCATCCGCCAGCTGGGATGTATTGAACAGTTAAAATCTCAAATGGAAACACATCTGTTTAGATTTAACCTTTGGTCTCACTCTTTGTCACATATGTAGTTTGGTGTCTTATCCTCTTAACCAGATTTTTATCTTGGTTTTATTTTAACTATTCTTGTTCATATGTTGTACTGATAGATCGTTACGTCTCCTAATCTGAAAATGCTTCTTTATTATTAATAATGATAATTCGTATAATTATATATGTCAGTACTTGATATGATGTAGACTGAGAATGGCTTTTGAAAATTGAATATTCTGCATTAATGTAAATATACAGCAGATAACATTTAGTAGTAATGGTAACAACATATGCAGTATGACTGTAATGTGTCTGGTTTGATTCCAGTCTGGACACATATGATGATGAATGAACAATGCATGACATGGTGTCACTTTTCATATGACATCATACATGATCAATTGAGGCTTTATATTTTTCAGGCTGTATTATTAGTATATATAACAAACATTTGGAATCTGACAATGAGGTAATCTACAGTAAATCCAGTATTCATACAAGACAACGCGATTATTGTGGCAGCAGCTCACTGTATTACTCAAAATATTCTGCTGTGTAGTTAGCAGCACACAACCTTTGATAAATAGCAACTGTCTCTATTAGAGATTTTGTGTGAGTTAAATCGTCAGATGTAACATGTTGATAAGCGAGCTGCAGAGGTGATGAAATTACAACCAGTCCAGTTTGTACCAGCGTTCCTTAATGTGCTTGTTCAGGATTCAGTGTTTCATTGTGCACAGAAACTGGCCAGTGGCTTGGTTTCAAAACAACTTGATTCTACTGCATGAAATTATCTTTTATTAGTCACTGCAAACTAAATTCATAGTTGGCCAAGTTTTCGATGCAGTCTGGTTTGTGGAGCTATAGAAAACATCCACTGTTACTCCAGAGACTTAACTGTTTACCTGAACAGTCAAGCTAATAGTGTATATTAGGAGTTCAAATCCAACATTGTCCTCCACAGAGTTAAAACCACATTAAGGCTGACAGGCATCCAGAGGGTTGTTTCCAATAAATTAAAGCACTCTTGGGAATTTAGATCATTAATCTATTCAAGGACAAACTCGCCCATACAGAGCTACAGAAGAGTCATTTATTACTCCTTTAGAAGAAATACAAAGATAACAGAGAATGCGATCACATTAGTCCTCTGAAAATGTAGAAATAATGAATTCCGCTCACACCAGGAGAAAAAATCCCCACATCAAGGTAAATGGTGACTTTCGAGATTTTAGGCGAAACATCAGTTAATGTGTCGGGGCACATGTGACCATTTTTAATTCCTAGATACACATGTTAAGGCTCGATTTGCTACACCAGGGCTGTTCAGAAACAACAACAGACAAGAAACCAGAGAAACAAGTTCAACACTTGAAGGTCTGAGCTCAACTGTGTTTTATTCTTATTCTGTGAAATCTGCCTAGACACTGTGGTTGTGTCACAAATCTCCATGGAAATATGCCTGATGCCTTCAACTACTTGTGCACTAACAATCACCATATTCAGGATGGGACAATTGCTTCAAAAAGGTCGATATGACGTTGACATGGTGCTGTGACCAAAAGGCTGCCAGGAAGCAACATATAAGCTGATTATTCCCATTAAAATAAATACAAATTTGTTCATTATTTTAAGAGATGGGTCAACTTTGGGATCCATTTGCTTCGTTGGCACAAGTTTGAAGTTGGACTCATATCAGTTCCTTAAATATTGACGGCCGAGATGGCTAACTTAGCTTAGCCTAGCACACAATAAGGTAGGAAATGGAGAAAACTGCTAGTGTGCCCGAGACCAAAGTTGAAAAATGAATCAATTTACTGTAATACAAGCATAAATTGTCATTTCTGCATGTGACACCAAAACACAGATACAAGTGACATTTTATATGAGTGACTTGTTTAAAAAGACAAACTGTTTGCACGAGAGGTTACGTGCACATGAGCACTGGTAAGACAACAGATTGCAGTTTATTTTCACTTCACGATGATGTACCTTGCTGATTAATGATTTTTTTAAAGTTTGGACAGAGCAGCTAGCAGCCTCTCCTATTTCCTGTCGGTATGCTAATCTAGGCTAACCATCTCCTGGATCTTGTTTAACAAAAAAGATAAGAGTATCAATCTTCAGCACGAAAGCAGAAGCAGTCTATTCCCGAAAATGTCAAACTTTTCCAGCACGTGTGTTAAGACCTATTTGAAAACATTTCTTTAATTACTCAAACTTGTTTTTGACTGAGATCTGAACTTGTGGAAACACTTGACCTAATTAAATGACAGTTTATTAATGTACAGTATTTGTCAATAATTCAGACTTTTTTTCTTTTCATTCATTATCTGTTTAAACACAAGCATCTTGTTGTGGATGCCCACAGGAGGAGTTGTAGTTGTTGATGAACACATTAATAAATACTTACATCTGCTTACAACTCCACACAGTGTGTTATAAATTATGTATGGTGTGCTGCTTATAAATGCTAAGTAGGGTTTTCAGCCTCGTGCTTTGTTCAAACTCATAAGTTTTGACTTATTGAGCTTGTGCGACTTGCTGACCCTGTTTCCTGGGACTCTACTGCTGCTGTTTCTTCTCAATCTCTCTGGTAAATTCAGAGGACGTCTGATCAAGTTTGCAGAGGATGACAGAAAAGAACCAAAGCATGATCTCATAAATACTCTCATATTTCCTTCTAAAGAGACAGTTTTCACTAATAAAGCAATCCACATTTGATATAAGACACATTCAAGTACTTCCATTTAGTTTGAGGAACCCATATTTAATGCACAGAACAATGGGAGCCACAGTTACACTGAGCTCTAGGAGGGGTGCCTCTTGTTTGAGATGTGTGAGTGTCTGTGTGTGAGACCCAGATGTGCTGGGTGTGTCTGTGTCCGCAAAGTCCATTTCCCTTGGTGTGTTCTGATCGGCCTACATTTGGCTCAGGAAATGAGCGCGTCCGTTATCCTCCAGGCGGCGGGTGAGGATCTCGCAGCCGGTCTCCGTCACCAGCAGGGTGTGTTCGAACTGAGCCGAGCGCTTGCCGTCTCTGGTCACCGCCGTCCAGCCGTCTGGCCACGTCTCATCTTGCCAGCCACCTGAAATATCACGCACACACACCATCAATTAAAGAGAGATGTGAAAACAAACACTCCGAGTCTGGCATCGACTCAGTGGACACCCATGACGTATACTGTGTTTGATGACCTGCTGCAAGATACATGGTTTAATCCTGAGAAACAGTCGACAGCCAAAGTCTTCATTCTTAACAGCTTGATTTGAAAAATGATCAATTGTTGAAAATAAATGTTTTATTCACTTCCCTGTGAAAACCACATATCTGCATATGAAGTTATTTATGTGTTAGAGGTAAAAAGAAAGAATTAAGTGATCCTCTCCGACCTGAGAAACATCTACTATACATAAATTATCCATTTGATTCTCTTTAAATACACCTTCTCAGCTCATCATCTATTTTTTTTTTACTATTCATTGTCTTTTAAAACTTGTTGTTTTATTATCTCTTGAATACATTTGTTTTTTATTGTTCACGTTATTCAAACAAAGGCAGTTCCACTCACCTTCACATATCATGGGCTCAATGGTAAACACATGGCCCGGCTTCATAACTCCAACTGCTTTGTTTTCTGGGAAACAAGTAAATACGGAGATCATGCTGTGCTGTGAGGGAACATTCAGAAATGTAATTTCAAAATAGCAACTGTCAGATTTAAGGACGTGACTACCCACTGGCATAGTGTGGCACATTGGGAGCAGTGTGGAACAGTCTGTGGATGCCGTGGCCGCAGTAGCTCCGCACCACAGAGAAGCTGTTGGCCTGGGCGTGCTTCTGGATGATGTTCCCCAACTCTCTGTAACGGATACCAGGCTTCACTGTGGGAAAGGAGGCAAAGACGAAGAGCATCAGGGTGACAGGCCTTTGGAGAATTAACTGTGGTTAATGACAAAAACAATGCTGGAATCTAAAAAAGGCAATAACCACTATATTTGAGTTTAATAAATGCATTCTACGCAAAGATATTACAAAATAAATATTTGGTGATTAAACCATTATGATCACAAAGTGCACTATGGAGACTTTTTGTTCATGCTGGCTTGAAAGTGGAAATTGAAAACCTTGAAAAAATGATAAGAAAACTGTCTCAACTTCCTCTCAATTGTTAGTCCTCTCTGGTGTACAAACTATGTAGCGGCAACACTTTCTTTAAATGACTTCAAACAGTTTGTTTGACGTCTGTGTTCTGCTATTTTTGGTAACATTTCCGCTCACACAGCACATAACGATAAAGATACAACTTTAACAAGCAAATATTTACACCTACACTTCACTTATTTATTCAAAAACATCTGTGTGTACAAAAGCTTTTATTGCTAAAGCCTGAACGCAACATTTCTACAGTCAAATACAATAAAACGTGAGATGGTTTAAATGTGCCTGTAAAAGAAGACTCCAGCAATCAGCCATAATATGACTGGACTAAACCACTGAGTCTGGTGCAGTGAAAGTGAGGTCTCTACAATCTCCACAGTTTTTGAGTGAAAGGAAATAACAGTGAGGTTCCTACCAGAGTCGATGGCTTGCATAAGGCATTCATATGTGGTCTGAACGAGCGTCTTTGCTCCTTCATCCACCTCTCCGACATAGAAGGTTTCATTGAGGTCCCCATGGAAACCGTTGTGGTAGACGGTGATGTCCACTGTGTCAGAGTGAAACAATGAAAATGTCAAAGCCACTGTGTTGCATGACAGACTAGACTTCTTCTTTCTTCAACACAAAGAAAGTGCTGTTACGTGTAATCTGTCTGAAATAGTTAATAATGGCAGGCAGCTGGTGAACATGGGCGTTTATAAGATATCGACCTGTTTGCAAGGCCAACCAAAATGTCCCAGCTTTTAAAAAGTTCTGCTGAACTTAGAACTCTGAGATCAGTCAACCAATCCAAAGCTGGAAAAGGTTAATGGAACTATTTGTCTTGTCGGTCCATGCAGTGAGAGACGAGCTGCTCCATCAGTTGCACTGAGGGGAGTGGCGGATTGAAAAGCAGAAAAATTCATAAAGAGGCTAAAAATGGTCAAACTCCTGCTGACACCATTTCGGCATGCTGCTAAAACCATTTGTCATCTTCCAGAAATCCCCCAGTCTCCTCCACCCCTCCATTCTTTTCACTAAAACATTTCCCTACATCCAAACTAAGCTTAACTATTCACTGGACTTGGTTAAATGAAAAAGTGAGAATATTTGGGTGATTGACAATCTTGAGCTGTTTTCAGACATGAGCTCCAGAGAATGTCCTCTTAATGGGGTCATGACTTTAGGATTTGCCCTTCACATATGAAGAATGCAGCAGGAGAGTCTCTGGTCAGACGTGTTCAAAACAACAACAACATCTGCGGAGCTTTCAGGTGAGGGGTGGCACAGCCTGGAGGAGCCATTACATGACTTACAAACACCATCCTTTACCATCAAAAGCTGTCAAATATCTCTTACCCCCTTTTCACCAAAGTGAACTGAGTGCTGGCACATAACTGATTCAACCTGCAAAGCTTTTAAGAACCAGTTTGCTTTTCCATAGCCTAGAGTTCAGCGTATGCCTGAAAGCTGTTGTATTAAATTTCACTTATAAACTGTTCAATGGAAAAAAAAAAAGCTCAACAATTTTGCGTTAGTTAAAATCAATAATCTGTCAAAACAAATTGTGCTGATGTGAGGCTGGGGGCCAAAATCTCGCAACACAATATCTTAATGATCATACCGTTGAGGATATCTCCGTCTTGTAGCTCTCTTCTGTCTGGGATGCCGTGACAGATGACTTCATTGACAGATGTGCAACAGGATTTGGGGAAGTTATAGTAGTTCAGAGGGGAGGGGTAGCAGTTCCTCGCTGTACAGGCCTGAACGGATAAATCATGTTGTTTAGAGAAGGAAGAGAAGCATCGTGTTTGAAAAGCAAAAATGGACCACACATAATAACGATCAGTGGCAGTGTGGGCTCTGCGTCTGCACATAGTAATTTAACAGGGGTGCACTGTGTGTTTGATATGACGTGACAGTGTGTCAGTACTCGTGTCAGCAGTATACAGTATAAATTTTACTGAAGTTGAATTGCTGTTCCACCACAGGGGGTCTGTTTACATGGAGCAACTCAGTCTTGCATTATTCATCAGCAGAGTCAGTTCTTGACAATTATTAACTATTCAAACAAGAGTGTACAGTCATGCTAACATGGGCCTGAAGGGGTTTGAGCTAAACACATCGGACAATAATCATAAAGACAATGCTAACACGCTAACGTACAGCAGATAATGTTAACATGACTGTAATCCTACTTTACTCTGTTAGCATGATAGTACTTGCTTCATAACATGACACATTAGGTACAGATGAGGCTGACGGGCATGCCGTTAGTTTTGAAGGACAATGTATTAGTTTATTATCCTGACCAGCCAGCCCTGACTTGTAATACCACTTTGTACAATCATAAAGCAACAGTGAATCAATTTAGTGTCTCCTCTCAGTCCAGCAAGAGGATAAAGAAGTGGTAACAACTGTAGCACCTCCTACTGAAGAGGACTGTTATATTTCATCTAATTTTTTGAGTAGTAATATTTTGGCAGAAGCATAGTAGCATTTTATCTATAATATTTGATTTCATGTTTGAAATATTAAGTGTACTTTGGGTGAAGTTGATCTAGTGCACAAATAGTGTTAGTAGTAGGCTATAAAACGTGAGAGGCAACATCTGATGAAGAATATACATGTCAACAACTTCCCTATGTTGGGGTTAGATGGATTAAATATTTGCACAATGTGATGGTTTAAACCTGGTAGTGAATGTCAAAATAACAGACAGTTGGTAAAAACTTTATGCATTATTTAACAGCTCACAGATATTTGTCCCAGTATGTTGAAGGTCAGTCCGACTATGGTGCATGAGAAGGGAGGAGGGCTTCTTACAATAGTTTCGACAGTTTCTTGGGGGGCACACCCTAACTTTCTGATAATATGATGCCCCCTGTTGGTTTGGAGTATGAGTTCAACAGTAGGCAAATTCTCACACATTGCCCCTGATCCTCTCCGACCTCCATACTAATTAATCTGAAGCTACGAGTCACTTCAATGTGTTGGTTCAGATTACGCAGGATTGTGATTGGGAACGTGCACACACAGCACGCAGCACCTGCAGCTGTTTTGACCACAGAATCGGTACACCCCTGCTGTGTACACATTGTTAATGCTCCATAATATTTGGTGAGAGTTACGTTTGATAACAAAGTGTTAAACTTTAAACACTGTGTGTGCATGCGTACCAGATGCACAGCATGGTCGATTTCTTCTGTTGTGACACCTGGTTTCACCATCACGGCTGCAATGTCCAGGACTTCTCGGGCCAGCTGCAAACAACATATGTGTAAAAACCAATACATGATAAATGGAAAAACTATGGCATCAGTAACAACATCCCATTTGGTACCTTGCACACAACTCTCATGCTTTCAATGTCCTCAGGAGAAAGGATCTTGATCTGTGACGTCCCCTTAAGGAACTGCTCAGACTCAGACATTCCTGTTGGATGGTAACAAGGAGAGACAATGGTCATCATTCACACATCAATACTCAGTGGAGCTGGTCAGCTCACTCAGATAGAACCTGGCAAAGCAGCAGCATGCACTTGGACCATCACAGCTGGATTTACAGTCTCCTGATCAGTTTTTTTTTTTTGAAAAAAAGCAGCAGCTAAATTTGTCTTCTGGTTGGAAGAAGAAGTTTTTTGTTAGCTTGTGTGCTAGCATAACTGTTCAAAGTAGCAATAATTTTCACCGAACTTGGTGGGAATATTACTTGTGAGTGGATCTATATATACAACATTAAGTTTGCATTGATTTAAAGAAAGTCATGACATCACTTTGAAGTCCGAAAATTGCGTCATATAATGTAGAAGTGCCTTTCTTAATTAGAGACAATCTAGGACTTATTTTCATTAAACACTCACCATTATATGGTATAGGTGACATCAAGAAATGCCTTTATTAGAACATAAGAATATATATATATATATAAACTGGCTGAGTTCAGATCCCCTTGATAAACAGTTGTTCTGGACATGCAGTGTCATTAATGTCTCTTACAGTAAATCCTTCACAAACACTCTAATTTAAACCCCTTTTCCAATGGTTTATAGATTTTATACCTTTTTATAAATTCACTATACTAACTCTTTTTCTCCAGTTTCTTCTGTCAGTTTTTACAATTTTATCCATTACAAGAATTTCTATGAATTCAAAATATACACTGCATGGTCTTTATACCTTATACTTCAATCCCAAATTCCCCCAAAATCCTAAAATGGTCGTGCAGTGCTGCGGTGCTATGGATAACTAGCTGCTCCTACAGAGAACCCGCTACAGAATCAGCTCCTGAACAGAGGCAGACTCTAATGACACTCACACTGTGGACTCAGAGGAGCAGAGCGGCTCCTTTTCTGTTGTACAGAAAACAACAGAAGCACAGCTGTCAGTGCTTTGAACCTCACAATAAATTACACTACCAGCGATTCAGCTGCAGAATAAACCCCATCGCAACATATTCTGTTCTTTCTTTTCTAGGCTGTAAAAATGTTAATGGAGTATTTAAATGTGTGTTGGTGAAGGCACTGGAGTCATCAAGAATTCACTGATCTATAATGTATTAACTCAACAAGATGATCGCTGGATGAGCATGAACAGTTGCCTAGCAACACGGACTTTAGACAGGTTTGTGTACAATTCAAATACAGCCCTCCTGTTGACCCCAAGAGCCTATAGTGTGAGTGCAACAATCATTTAGAATTACTTACGCTCTGATACAGCTGCTCGAAGAAGGCACAGGATATGAGGAAAACCACAATGTGCACATTACTATGTCTTCATGCTCACTTGCTTATAGGTTTAATAGTGAAAACAACGTCAATATGCAAGTTTAAAATGTAAGAATATATAAATAAAAACCGAGCTGAGAAACAGATCTGTGTGAAACGTAAGCCTGTAACAACTGTGTCTCAGTCCCTGAATAGGCATCACAGGAGAATGAAAGGAGATGGTAGCCATGACTACCTGAGCATGGATCTATGCAGTCAGATGACAAGGATGGGGAGGTTGCCATGGTTGCACAATGAATGAATGGTTTTTCCAGAGAAATAGACGTAAATAAGGCAGGTTACAATTATGACTGTCTGATAATAACATAAAAGAAGCAACCAATCTGTTTGCACTATAGGTGGAAAGAGATCGTCATCCATGGGACTGTATAAGAGAGGGATTCCAGTTGCATCAATTTATAATGTACCTATGTACAAAAGAGTATGTTTTTCATCATGCAATACTGAATTAAAGTAATGCAAGTGAAATGACATTAGTTTTACTGTTCCTGCTGAGACTAGATACATTGATTTCAGCTACTCAAACCACATAATTTAAATACTTATCTGCATATTTTAGAAAAAATCTATTAAAAAAAAAGATCACTATGCCATCAATGAAGAAAAAAAAATACTACGACAGAGTCATTTGAGAACGTAGTAGTGAACAATTTTCACTTTTAACTGCACCAAAGGTTTTGTTCTACTATTCTGCTGCTGCAGAGTTCTTTCCAAACAGCACGACACACACCTGTGCGTTCATGCAAAAACATACATACAACGCATGCATGGACAATCACATTATGCAGATTATTGTAGCACACTAAGACAGGAGCTCAGCGTTGTCCTTCTGTAAACTGAGACTTTGGTTGAAAGCTAAAACTGGGGGGTTAACCTAATCAAAAATCTGGAAACTGCGTACATCTACTGTAAATTTTGTGACAATCTATTTTGCTTGAAACCTCAGCAGTGGAAAGACAAACAAACAGATGGATAAACAGACTGACCAACACCACCATCCTTATTTTCAGCAAATCATATCAAAAGCATCACAGTGCCATATCAGATAATGAGTTTGCCAGTGGATTCTGGCAGTGTGAGGCGATTAGAAAAACCTCTTACAGTGATTATTGCAGATTTTTGCATCTGCTATTTATTGTCAAGCAAGACCAAGTGTCTCCACTGACACACAACACCTCCTTTTACTCCTAAGCCTCGCAGAATATATTCTTCATATTGTGGATTGAAAAAAGTTTTAAAAAATATATAATACTTCAGCGCAAAATGTACTAAAGTAACATCTCAAAAAACACTTGAGTTTGAATGAAAATACAAAGCTAGAGTTGTAACTCTAGAGAATGTCCATGGCATTATGACCTCCTCATACAATATCAGTTTTACGTCAAGAGAGTATCATATTTCACTATTAAGAAAATGTGCTCGGTGATGAACATATATCATTAGAATATTATCACTCATTCATGAATGTCAAAGCAGAATTTTAGTGTTTAGTCTTTTTTATATGGATTCATCTGCTGATTATTATCTCCATTCATTGATTGAGAGTTTTTTTGTAATTCGGAAAATGACAAGAAATTGTCAGTTACTGTAAATAAAATGAAAAAAAGCCAGGATTTTAGTGACCAAAATGTTCATGATTATCGCTATTATTGCGCTGTTGTTAAAATGTGCTGTTAGTGTTCAGAAATTACTAATACACTAACTATAGTAATTTCACCAAGTTTTAAATTGACATTATATATTATCAATAACAATAATGATAGGTTTTTTATATTATTTATCAAAGCTTACATTAAGCGCAGAAGATGACCAAGTTGCAGTTGATAAACAATAGAAGGACACAATACGACGCAGAAGTTAACTTTGGCTTGGATGCACTGCAAAGAAACTTCCAACCGACAGAGTGAGAGTGACAAATATAATAGAGAAAGTTCTGAAATTCATTGTTTTGGACACGCAACCCCTGTCGCTGTTGAAAACGAAGTCTGTCGTCGCCTGTTTAAACACCTGGAACCAAGGTTCAGTTTACCGCCACGAAGATATTTTCATCCTGAAAATAAACGGATCCTTTCTGAACCTTTCACACTCTTACACACTTGTGTCAGCACAGTCAGAAAAGCTTGCACTTGTTTCCTAATGGGGTGAATTCAGGGTCAGTGTGTCTTCACAGACAGCCAGGATTTGTGATGTGGAACATTATTTCAGGGGATTCAACTTATTCACGGGACTCATTACACTACAAGGAGGGATGGTGTTCTGGAAGATGTTTGAAGTGTTCCCTTCTATTTCAGACCATGAATCCATTGATGAGGACAACCCCACATCTTTGGAATATCAAAAGTGATCCCACGGCTGATTTCAGTTGGTTTTCTGACAGATGGAGGTTATTAGAATCCCCTCTTTTTCTGTGTGCACGTGTGTTGATATGGTGCCAGTTGTCGAGTCTGAGAGGCAGTCGAGGAAAGGGGACAGACATGTATACATGCCAAGCTTACCAAGGTGGACAATGAGTCAATGTGATCAACACAACATACAGTGAGAAAGAAACAGTTACCTCTAGGATGATCAGCATAGTCAGGTCTTAGGATTTCAGCAGAGACGTGCCTCATGAGGGTCTACACCAGGGGCCAAGACGATAGAAATGTCACATCATGGAATTCACAGACACTTCTTTGACACATTAAAAAACATATTTGCACCATCAGTTATCTATACAAGACACTGCTTTGGATTTTTAAGTAACATAGTAAATGGTGTAATGTATCACAGTTACTGTACCAAACCATGAGCCCATTGAGTAAACTGACATTCTTTCACCGAACACAGTGCAGAAATGTGTCTCAAAGGGACAGTTGACATTTAAAAAAAACTGTGGATAAACATTTAAAAATGTCATATTTTTCTTTTCTTAGTTTCTCCCATCGTTACACTGGTTAGTTGTATATATTAAGAAATATGTGACAAGAATGTTAAAATCAACTTATCGCCCCTGAAAAGAAAAAAACTGCAGACAAAGAATAACCAACCAGAGGATAGTGAGGGTGTAGTTTTCCTGTGTAGCGGTAGCCCGGCCATGGGTCTGTGTTGATATCCTTCTCCACACAATTATTAGGTTCATTCTGGTTCTTGTCCTCCTCTGAAAAAATGTAACACAAGACCTCTAAAGCAAGTGGCACCACAGTGTCAGTTCTGCCAAGAAATATCATCTATTCAGGACTTCTGTTACAGGTTCTAAATAAAACACCGTGTATGAGTACAGCTGTTTCGAAATTCTTAACTTGCTCATTAACATAAATAACATGAAAAGTATTTATGTAACGTTATGTGTGAGCTTGATGTCAACAAGGTATTGAAGTGACTGTGTTTAAATGTGCACTAGTATCCCTTTATAAGGTTTATTCTGGTTTTCATCATATTCAGGATATGGGGTTTACATTAAACATTAAAGTATCTGGTTCATATGCTGTTATACGTGATAAATACCAGTATCCTGGTTACTTATAACTGTGTGCTGTTTGAGCAGGTGCCTTTAGCTGGCTTTGTGTCACAGTTGAACCCTTCATGAGACCAGAGGAAACAACCGTACAAGCACCAGTTCTGATACTGATGAGAGTGGCCATTGTGTTGCAACAAACTGGGCAGTTTTCTTGGCTGAAGTAACGCCAGCGCAGGTAGTCGGCAGTGGTCAGAAACCAGAATAAGACATTCACGTGCACCAGTGTCCCAGTTACTTACGGAGTTCCCCTGCTAGTAAAATCGTTTTTCTGACGACCAGGATAAAGGCTTATCCAGGATACTGAAATTGGAATATTCCATTTGCATGCTTTTAACACAAAAATGGGTTACTTCAAAATGCAGTCAGTGACCTGTGATACCTACTTGCTTTTTTGTGCAGTAACTTGTGGGATGCCCAGCTCCCTTTGAAACATTCCTGGAAAAGAAAACACAAATAAAAAGCATCTCAATGAGGAAGTAAAAAGATGGACAGACATAAACTAGCCATTATCGATACAGAGCAAAAGGTGCTTTAATAAAACTAGTAACCAATATGTAATAATCCCAAGCACGATATTACTTGGATGGACAAAGTCACTCTGCCATGCCGTATATTTCATTGGGGTGTGTGTGAGTGCGTGCCATGAGTGAACAATTAACCGCAAAGAGAGAGAGGGAGGGGGGGGGCGCCGTATAGAGAGCAGGGTCAGGTTGCACAGCCAAAACTGCACTGACAGCAAAGACCTCCCGGGTCAAATACCATGACACCACAGGAGCATGGACGCTGTCCCCCGGCCTCACTATTTATAAAACTTTGAATTCAAGAAACACCACATTAGGTCATTTCACAATGGAGAAAAAGAAATGTAGTGGGTGATTGAGTGCCCGCTGTAGCTGCCCCAAAGTTTTGGAACAATCTACCTATTTTAAAGAAGTGATCTCCTTCTATCAATACATTTAGGACTTACTGAAGACCCTCATGTCCACAGGTTTTTAATGTCCTTAAATAGTTTTTAATCACATCATAGAAGTTTAGTCTTAATATATTTTATGCTATTTTCAGTTATTGCATTTCAACCTTTCTTTGCATTGTGTCTACATTCATTGTAGAGTTAAAAAATGCCACTACTTTATAAATGTAACATCAGCACATGAAGTGGTTCAGGTCCATTCAATATTTTAGTTAGAGACTGGTGCTGAGATGTGCCAAAACTAGAAGTTTTCATACACTTCCAACAACTTCTTCTCAGCCGATCATCTGTATGGGCACTGGAGAACATCTCCCACTCACAGTCATCACTGAGCCCAGTTTTAGGTCTGGTCCATCATCAGTTCAAATCTAGACTGTCTGACTTGTGAGTGGAGTTCTGCTCCCCTGAGCAGAACCAGGATGAGGGTCTCTCACATCGCGGCACCAAGTGATCTGTCACGCAACATTACCTCTGCAGCACATACTCAAGTATCACGACTTGTGTTGTGTTACATTGCGTTGGCACCCGGTTCCTACACGGCATTAATTATTTCCCACTCCGTCCTCCACAAACACAACTCCACTCTGGAGAGTTTAGATTTTACCTGCAGCCACTTTTTTTTTTGCTAACCTGCCAACACTTAGCTAGCTAAGCGTTCCCCCTCGGCCTGCGGCTACAGGGGTAGCATCGGCTACATGATCGCACCTTTAGCGATGTCGTAACCACATCCAGGAGGCATTCGTTACACCTCAGCTAACGCGTAATGAGCGCTTCACCGGGCACGTACACATGTCTACCTAGCATGACACTTAGCGTTAGCAGCCTCGTGATAAGAGAGGAGGGGGCCTGAGCGCAGCCACAGGCGGCATTAAAGCGAGGCGAGCCGGGGAGGCAGCAGTACCTGTGAACAGAAATAGGAGCCTTGAATACCGAGCTTGATACATGTGGGGCACTGGAGCTTGGCGTCCTGGCTGCAGCCGTCGGTCTCACACTCCCTCCTGGTCTCGGTGCTCGCCATGCCTTCGTCTGCGGGAGAGGGTGGAGCCGGTGGCGAGCAGCGCAGGCCAGCGGCGTCGCGCTGCGCATGTCCGCGGCGGCGGCGTCACGCGGCGCGGCTCCCGTCCAATCAGCGGACACTTTCCCACTCAGAGATTTATAAGATGGCGACCGCCGAACCGGTGAGCACTCTCTCCACAGAACTAAAGTGTTTTCGGGGGGGGCTTCTTGGTTTAGTTACGGGCTGAGAACGTTTCTAAAGTTCGAGAACAGCAGCGAGCGTCAGCCCCCACGCGGAAAGTGGCGGTTGTTATTCGCGCTCGCGTTGTTTTCGGGCCGGTGTAAAGTTGTGTGTTCCGTGCCACGACCCAGGAGCAGCGCTGGTGTGTCTCCCAACTTTAAGGCTGACGCTACCAACGTGCCGTTAACTTTGACCACACAGACCTCCATTACAGAACAACTCACTTCAGTACTCGATTGAGTAATCTGGTCAAACACGTGACGAGAATGTGTTGATTTCAAGACATTTATTTTTACCAAGATTATCGGTGAATTCGGCTCTGCGAATAACATGAAATGCTAAATAGTTGTGTTGTGGAAGTTGAAATTTCGACTGTCAAAATGAGTTGACGCTGCTCTCTGCTGACTTCATTGCCTAATTTAGTGTGTAAACGTGCATAATGGAGGAGCGTGGGGGGGATGTCCACACGATTATTCATCTGATTAATCAGGATTGTTGTCAAACACTTATACCGAATGTGGAGTTAAGCTCCACAGTTGTGGTGAAATGTTTTCAGGTGTTACAGTGGGTGTGTAACCTTTTATAGTGAATGGAAATGTCGTGTTGGTCCCTCTCCAAACTCCAGGTTCGGATCACAGTGATGTGTACCAGATGTTCACATCAGGGTTCAGATGTGAACACTCACAGATTATTCTTTTCCTTCCCACATATGTAAAGTTTCTTCGGCACAATACTTTTTCTCATTCGAGATCACAAACAGCACTGTTGGTTGATCAGCTGCACACTGGGTAAATGGTGTATTTCGTAATGGTCCCACCATCTTGTTGCTGTGGCAGAATGGACACCTGGAGGGTTATTGGCGGAGCCGTCATGGAGCTGTTGCAGGGTCCTTTCTCCAGTAAAGATCTACACCAGAGATTTCTGTACCTCACTTCTGCCCCACTGCTTTGCAGGAAACCAACCCAAGTCCGCCGCTGGCTGATGAAGATGGAGCTGAGGAGTCAGGACAGGAGATTGTGAGCCCAGAGGCCTACATCAAACACCCCCTCCAGAACAGGTTAGATTGATTAGGAAAAAAGCCATTAGGTTATTTAGGCGACATCCATACTACTACCTCACACACACAAATTACGCCCTTGACATAAATGATTCATCAAATATCAGAGAAGAATATCGTGAGCATGCACGGTTGAGATCTGTTCTGTCACCTTATCCGTCACAATGTTTTACATGTACGTGCACACAGATACACAGAAACTGTCTTATGGACTTTGGAAGGTGTTTGCAAACGTCTTAGTTTTATTGACTTAAAAAGCAGTTTGCATGTGAACCAGAGGCCCCTACACAGGAAATAGTTGGTTTTGCAAAATATCTATATTAGTGTGAACGGGGCATTATTCACTATATTGCATTCAAGATTATTATTTTTCACGACAGACAGATCGACTGACTAAATATTTTTGACAGTCATCAGTTTTTTAATATCATTGAAGACCTTTTACTTGAATGGTGTCAGTTGTTGAACTCAAAATAGTTAATTTTCTCTCAATCAGCTGATTGATTAACCAACTAGTGATTGTAGCTTTAAAATCAAGCCTAACTCTTTGTTTTTATGTTCGCTTGTAGACATGCGTTGCTGTGGAATTTACTGGGTTTGAATTAAAAAGTGTAAATAACGTGAATATTCAGTTATTTGCTTAAAGTTTGCATTTGAATGCCAAACAGAGAACAGATACAGAAGTGAAAGTAAGACATAAACTGACCATTCACTGAAAACAGTGAGTTCTTTGTTCATTGAGAGGGAACATCACAAATCACAAAATTGTTTGTGCACAGCTCATGATAAGGAATATGTCAAAATGCCAAATAATAGCGCAAAAACCTATTTCCCTCAAAATAAACATGTTTGCTTTGCACACGAATGAGGAATTACTGAGCTGTTTTTTCTCTTTTTTTTGTATTTGTATATGTCATGTGGGTGGTTATGTGGTTCATGTGCTCAAGCAGATTTCCTGTCACAGTCCAAACAATTGCAGTCTGCTTGGTTGGGGACCTTTTTTATTTCTGTTATGGTATGGTGGCCCGTCAAAAGACTGTCAGTGTTTTCCTTTGAATCAATACTCAGCTCTATTTGATGCTAAATACAAATCAGTAATTAATTAATATTTCATATATCTTTAAAATCCATAAAGTTAATTATGCCCAAAAGGTACAAACAAAGAAACAGAGATGGAACAGAACAGTTGATGGGACATGGACAAAACTAAAAAGTTGAAGTACGTAAAATAAATTTTTTCAAAGATGTTTCCTGTTATTTTAGGTTGTTCTTATCACTCTGATGTATGGTCAAGTGTTGTCCATCTTTATTTACAGTCTATGAAAGAGCACAACAGAGACACGCATTCTGCCTAGCTAGGGTCATAGAGTGGTAGAGCAGCCTATCCCAGCATGCATTTGAAACCTGTCACAGCCAGTCAAAAAGACTGCAGAATATATAGATTCAAACTATTAAATATTGTACTGGACAATTTGTGACAAATAGCAAAGCCTCCACTTATTGTGTAATTGTCAGATTTGGTTATCAGACTGTCTGCTATGCAAATACAGACGAGTGGCTTTAATGGCTTTATTGTAGTGTCAACAGGCACACAATTCTTTATTCTTCTTGAACCTAGAGCCGTTAAGGCAGTTTCTAAGCTATGAAAGGATTCAGCGTTGAACAAATATGTCACTGTCACAAATAATTTGACCACGAGAGTGACAGTGTGATTTACGTAACAGTGGGGCGGTGTTGTCAGAAGCATCCAGGTGCATCCACACGTTGCTCATTTGCTCCACAGCTCAATGGCTTTTGGTTGTTTACCTCATGTTTAATTAGGGGCTTGTTACATTTATTCAAATGTCTTCCTTTTCTGTTTTTCGCCCAACAGATGGTCTCTGTGGTTCTTCAAGAATGACAAGAGCAAGACGTGGCAGGCCAACCTGCGACTCATCTCTAAATTTGACACAGTTGAAGATTTCTGGGCGTAAGGAGCAATACAGTCTTCTTTTTGTTTTCTGCACCACTATGGAGTGAGCAATAAAATGTCCTGGACAGATACTGTGTTTTTGAATAACCATTACATGCGTTAGCGTTGAATTGGCTTGTTTGGTTAATGCTGTGCTCTCGTCATTTCTAGTCTCTACAATCATATCCAGCTGTCAAGCAACCTCATGTCAGGCTGTGATTACTCTCTTTTTAAGGTAAGCTTGTGTCCATTTATGTCAGTTGTGTATTTGTGTAAATGTGCAGAGAAAAAATTACAAAAAAAAATCCGTCTTCCTCAGTATAAAGCAGTGACCACCCATGTTTAGAACAGCTCTGGTTTCAGAAGTAAATTTCCCTTTTGTTTTCTCAATTGAAGTTTCAGAAAATTCTTACTTTAAGAGTTTTAAGGCCGATCAGCTGAATCGTGACTAAAGTATTTGATTTGGTGCAAAAGACAATTGGAAAATAAATGTAAAAGGTACAAGATTCTGTACATAATTATTGTATTTAGTGCCTTGAGATAATGTATGTTATGATTTGGAGCTATACAAATAATTATTTTAAGAGTAAAGACCTATGCAGCGCATTGTGGATAGTGTAGTACTTCTTGACATTGTGAATAAAGTGTGTTTTTCATAAAAATGTAGTTGATATACAGTCTTGTGGCTTCTACAGGAGCATACAACATTGTTTTACAGTCTCTTAGTGTGTGGTAAGTCGGCCTTGTATGGTTAAAATATTATTTCTGATCTCTATCTCTATTTAGAAAATGAATGGGATTTTTACATCTGGAACCACGCTGTTGAGCTCTATTCTCCCTGGTGCTGAGAAAAGTGCTTCATGTATTATGCACCAGTGTCTGCACTTTCTGTATTGTGTGTTCATCTATATAAACTACAGGGTTTTCTCTCCGTACACCATGTTAATAACTATAAAACATATTTCTTCTAAAGTGGTGGGTAACGTTTACATGGACAAAAGCTACGGCAACAAATATCTAGCTTTTACATTATAATTTACATTTTCACTTTTTACATTTACATAATTTATTGTTTGAGACATTAGATAGGCAGCTATAAACTGTGGTGATACCATTGTGTTTCTGAATGAAGCATTTTAAAATCATTTTTATTGCCAGCCTACCAATAATGCCTAATTGCATGATTTCTTTATGGCAGCAGGTTCAAATAAAGCTCCTGCATAAAGAACAATACTTGATTGAATTGTTGAATTCCAGTCAAAATGGCAGCATCATTAGAGGAGGGTAGGCAAACAAAGACTGAAGTGGGCAGGTTCTGTTTCCTTTTTTTTGTCTGACTAAATCTGTCTCAGAACTCATCAGATTAAAAGGGCTCATTTAGCCACAGCGCTGATAGAAAATGAGAAGCGTGGGTGGAAGTTTCTGGGAAGTTTCCTCGAAAAGCAGGAGCAGCCACTAATTATACTGCATTTGAGGTAGGTGATAATAATAAATGGAAAAGGCAGTCATCAAATATAACTGCGCTCTTTGATCAGCCAGCTTTTTATTTAAATCCCTGGCAGTATCACCTTTGGCAAAGATTAATGAGTGAACTTGTTTTCATCGCGGGAGAGCTAGTTTATCAGCACCTGTAAAATTAAAGCTTTACAAATTCCACATATAAAACCATCGTTTGTGTAACTTTTGCCTATCTTTATTCAAGAGGGTGGTCTTTCTGTTTGAAAGCAGGACTGATATTCCATTCAGATTTTGTAATACTTTCAAAAATCTGAGAGCAAACCTTTCAAGCGCATACAGAAGCAGCAAGAACGCAAGGAGAAGAAATCTTTCCAAGCAACAAAATATCTGAGTACAAGCGCACAGTTTGAGCACAAGCAGAGCAAATCGAAGCACAAGCAGAGTCTGAGTGGGAGCCCAGTGTTTTGAGTGAAAGCAGTTCCAAACCTGAAACTTAAAGACCACGCACTTGAACAAAGATGAGAAAAAAACAAACAGTGACGTGGTAGTTTGAAGGTTGCAAAAGACATTTTTCATGCAGCCAATGTGGAAATCCTGTCTATCTCACTGTTAAAGGCTGTATTGAAGTTATGGTGCAGTGGTTTGGGATGTGCATTAACAGTTTGAACCATCTCTGCAGGATGGCATTGAACCCATGTGGGAAGACGAGAGGAACAAGCGCGGCGGCCGCTGGCTGATGACACTCACCAAGCAGATGAGGAGATTAGACCTGGACCGCTTCTGGCTGGAAACAGTAGGTTTGGGCGTCGCTGTTGTGCTTTGTTCAGTCTTCAGTGGCGTTACTCAACAAGTGATTCCATAGATCATCTCTCGTGGCTCCTCTGAGCCTTTATTTCCTGCTTGCAGCTGCAATTAGTCGTACCACCCTATTATTACATCCCTCACAATGTTAATCGCGTTATTACCTCCTTTTATAACTTTCCCAACTGATCTGAGCCACAGATGAGATTGTTTTAGTCCTCTAATCTTTTTGCACACAATCTTCAACTAATGTCTAAGAAAATATGCTATTCCCTCGACTGAGCTGATGATGGGGTCACAGCGCAGTCAGATGAGAGCAATTTAAATTTGACTTGCTCGCTGTTAAATCTCCAGTCCACACAGTGCTGTGAGCTCTCCTGCTGATCTAAAGGTCACTGTCGGTGATACAGACATCTATCAAGCTGTGATTTTCCAGCTCTTACTGTACTGTCAATACCGAGACTCTTGAGGGCTGAAAGGGTTTACTTAGATTTTCTAATGACATTCACACTAAATGTTTTACTATGTGTTGAGCTTGAAGCAAGACATCTTTTAACAATTGCAGTTTTATGCTTAGTCCTGATCCTGGGGCTGCCACAACTTGCATATTTCTCCCACAGATCTGTTCATAAAAGGTGCGGGAAAGATAGTTGACAATACTTTGCAGGTGATATGAAGATTTCGCAGCCAGGCTGGATGGTCGGATTGATGCTCAGCGGTGTGCTGCCACAATTGGAGCGGCCATCTTGCACTTTTGACATCATTTGGAGGCTGAGTCTGGGCATTAGGGATTGTTCTACCAATCACAATTCTGTCTTAGGTGTCAATCATGCCGTCTCAGCCTGTTTTTATAGCAGCAAATAACGAATTAAAATTACCGGAGAAAATGATATAAAGCAGTGGGATGATAATCTAAAGAAAAATGCACGTGTACTTTGGAGGTTTAAGTTTGGTCCATGTCTTAACATTTTGGAGCCGCCCTGTCCGTCTTCCTGTGCAGACTATGGTTCACATCATATTGTTTAAACCACTATCACAAGGAGCCTGATTATTGGTTGCTGTTTCCATGTGGGAGATATTTGGAATCTCGACAATGATGATTTCTTAAAACCTGGTGGAAAAATCCACAGACATGTTAGCAGACTGTAGGCACCACATAATTGCAACCCAATCATCTCATTACATATTTATATGGTTTTACAAATTGCTTCAAATATATAAAAGAAAACGGCTAATTGAAGGTATTTATTTGTTGTTTTCTTTCCATTTAACTTTCCCTGGGCTTGAATGCAACACAAGTAC